CTGGCTTACTTAGAATGACAATCTCCAGGTCCATCCAAGTTGCTGCAAATGGTATTGCTTTATCCTTTTTAGGGCTGAGTAGTATTTCATTGTATAAATATAACACAATTTCTTTATCCAGTCATCTGTCAATGGACGTTTAGGTTTCTTCCATGTTGTGGCTATTGTAAATAATGCTGCTTTTAACATTGGGGTGCATATATCTTTTAGAACTAAAGTTCCCTGTGGATATATGCCCAGGAGTGTGATTGCTGTGTCATATGGTAAGTCAATTTTTAGTTTTTTGAGAAATCTATGCTGTTTTCTATAATGGCTGCTCTGAACTACGTTCCCACCAACAGTGTAGGAGGGTCCCCTTTTCTTCACATCCTCTCCAGCATTTATTGTTTGTGGACTTCCGAATGATGGCTATTCTGACTGGTGTGAGGCAATACCTCGTTGTAGTTTTAATTTACATTTCTCTGATAATTAGTGATATTGAGCATTTTTTCATGTGCTTATTGGCCATTTGTATGTCTTCATTGGAGAATTGCTTGTTTAAGTCTTTTGCCTATTTTTGGATTTTTTTACTAAGTTGTATGAATTGTTTTTCTATTCTGGAAATTAAGCCTTTGTCAATCTCATCTTTTGCAAATATTTTCTTCCATTCCGTAGGTTGTCTTTTTGTTTTGCTTATGGTTTCCTTTGCTGTGCAAAAGCTTAAAAGTTTAGTTAGGTTCCATTTGTTTATTCTTGCTTTTATTGCTATTGCCTGGGTAGACTGCCCTAGAAGAGAACATTGCTGAGATTTATGTCAGATAATGTTTTGCCTATATTTTCTTCCAAGAGGTTTATAGTGTCTAGTCTTATGTTTAAATCTTTAAGCCATTTTGAGTTTATTTTTGTGTGTGGTATGAGGGAATATTGTAACTAACTTCATTGATTTATGTGCAGCTGTCCAGTTTTCCCAACACCATTTTCTGGAGAGACTGTCTTTACTCCATTGTAAATTCTTGCTTCCTTTGTCAAAGATTAATTGACCATAGGTCTGTGGGTTTATTTCTGGGCTCTCTATTCTGTTCCATTGATCTACATCAATGCTGTAGCCCTATAGTATTGTCTGAAATCTGGGAGGGTTATTCCTCCAGCTCTATTTTTTTTTCTTCAGTATTAATTTGGCAATTCTGGGTCTTCTGTGATTCCATATAAATTTTATGATTATTTGTTCTAGTTCTGTGAAAAATGTCCTGGGTAATTTCCTAGGGATCATATTAAATCGGTAGATTACTTTGGGTAGTATGGCCATTTTAACAATATTAATTCATCCGATCCAAGAACATGGCATATCTTTCTATTTCTTTAAGTCATCTTTAAAAGAAAGAAAGAAAGAAAGAAAGAAAGAAAGAAAGAAAGAAAGAAAGACAGAAAAAACCTATTGAGCACACTCTGAAATATCATAATGCATGACAAGTCACTTTTTGAAGCTACTATAGAAACAAATAGCTAATGTATTTGTATTGAAACATCTTACACTGTAACAGATTGCTTTGCAATTAAAGTTTTGTTTTATCTAAAAAATACTATATTAAATAAAAGTGGTGAGAGTGGAAAAAAATAAATAAACCTAATTACCTCCTCAAAAAATTTTAAAAAGGAACTTTTACTCCATATCACTGTTTTTTCTTAATTTTTACTCTAATATACATGCTTCCTTATCATAATTGACATTAAAAAGACAAACCTACAAATATAGCTATAGTAATATGTAGATCCTTTGTACAAAGGTATATTTGCAATTCTTTCTAGCAATTTATTTGGCCTGTGGACCAAGAGAAAAGACCAGGTTCTCTATGCATTTCTGATCTTTCCAAGGATCATGGATATGAGTTCAAATTAGGTAATTCAGGCCTTAAGTAGAAGCCACTTATCTGAAATGGAAATAATGTGCACTGAAGAAATGTTGTGTATTGAGAGGGGCTTGATGACAAGGAACAGAAGGATACCTTAGGGCTTGTTGACTTTTCTGATAGGAATTTGGCTATAATCTTAGGCTCTAAGATTTAGATTAAACTACAAGTAATTTGCAATACATTTCCTCCTATTACAGTGTTAGTTTCATCTGTTGTCTAGATTCTGTAATTAAAAAACACAAAGTAGTTGTTGATTCTGTTAAATTACAGAGTAACCTTTATTCAGAAAGTTCAAGCATAATTCATTGGAAAGAATCTATGCTGTGCTTAAATTTTCAGGGTTACCTTTGAAGTACACATTTAACAATATACATCCTAAGGCAAGTTCATTTGATCAGGTTTTGTGAATGGTATTCAGAGAGTGAAAATCACTCCCCCAGGGATACTGTGAGTAATTAAGATAAGCATAGGGATAAACAATAGTTATGAGATCCTATTCGAGAGTACACGATGTGCCAGGGATATACCCTTTGCACATTTGACATATTTTTAAGGAATTGTGAGACCATACAGATCTCAGGAAAATGTTTTATTGTAATAATAATAATAACGTCTCTTTTAATGTATGTATGTATATACAAGTCACCTAGTTTTTTCTTCAGTTTCGCACTATCCTAAAAAAAAAACCTGTAAATAAATTGCATTAGCTTCCTTTTTCCCATTCCATAGAATTGTTTTAATTATGGACGCTGTAAAGAGAGTGCATGCCTCAGTTATTAAAGGAAAGTTCTCTTTATTTTAATTTGCATCAAGAAGTTCATTTCAGATGTTGCTTCCAGGAGTCAATCACTATGGATAGAAGCCTGTGGTTAACTTTTGAGGAAATACTGGAATTCACTGTCTTTCTTGGGCTTTCTTTTCTTAATAGGCCCTTTCCGCTGGTTCAGAGTCTTATCACCCACACATTGGGCACCCTAGGAAAGCACCCTGGCATCGCCCACCTGGGGCAGATACGAATCACAACCTTCTGCGAGTTGATGGGCGGGTCAACACCTCGCCCAGCGCCGGCAGCAGTCACCACCGGACACTGGTGATTGGTTGCGCGTTAAAGGCGCGGGACCAATGAGAGCGGCGGCCCGGGAGAGTACAGGGAGCGCGCGGGAAAGCGACCAATATAAACTCTGGCGGGAGATTCGTTTTCAGGGCCTTGTACCGTGAAACACCCTCGACTGGAGTGTCAGTTGATTGCTCTCATCTCGTGTTCGAACATGGTGCGGACTAAAGCAGATGGTGTCCCTGGCACCTACAGAAAAGGTGAGGCAGTCGAGCACTAGAGTGAAGGGCAGGTGGTTCTTCGGACATCCCCGCCGCAGGCGGGAGAGGCCGGGACTCCCCACGGCGCTGCCCGCCAAACTGGTCCAGCCCGCCAGGAAGGGGCGGCCCGGCCCCTTTAATCAGGAGGAAGAAGCGGCGGGGACAGGGGAGGGTTATCTGCTGTTCTGCATCGCGGGGCTCTTCTCTGCGGTCGGCTGGGTCAGAGACTGGTAAGAACGTGGCTGTAAGACTTCCTATCCCCTTCTGAATGCTGTCCTTTACCTCTCTCCGCAGTGGTGGCTTCTCGAGCCCCCAGGAAGGTGCTTGGTTCCTCAACGTCTGCCAATAATTCCACGTCGTTTTCGTCACGGAAAGGTAAAAAGCGCCCCTGCAAGCTCCTGGAGGAACCCTCTCAAAAGGAGATCAGGCCTGGCACCACAGTTCTCCTGACCTGCGAGCCCCCTGACCCACCGTGGAATTTCTTTTCCTGAGATCCTCACCCCTGAATTTCTTCCTTGCCCTCTGATATAATGAATGGGCCTTGGTCTCTTGGCGCTCTGGGGTGGAGGTGGGGTGTTGCATAGTAAAGAATTAGGGACGGACAAACTTTCTCTTCAAACCTTTTTCTTTTCTGCTTTAGCGTTCTTATTTTTCTTAATATTTACAGATGGACTTTTTCTTGTGAGGGGCTATTTAAGCACCTCTTTACTAGATTAAGAATTAGGACAATAGTTGACAGTGCTAATCACGTTGTCTTCTTCCTGTAAATGTTTTTGTTTTCATTTCTGTGCATTTTTTTCCCTTACTACCTACTTTCCAGGCTTCCTTCCTTCCCTTTCTTTTCTTTTCTTTCTTTTTTTTTTTTTTTTTTTTTTGGAGTGTGGTGTCCTTGGCGTGTGTTTTCAAACTTTGCAGCTCCTGATACTGCTTTTGGGACATTAGGAGGGAAAACTGGGCCAGGGAAATACCTTCACACCATTCCTTCTGTGCCATGAGAGGTTGAGGAAATACCGTGCCATCTAGTGTCTCATTTCTTTCAGTAGGAAGTTGAGCAGTTTGGAAGATAAATTCCACAAGCCCTAGTTAAGAACATACGGAAAAAAACTGTGTCAAATTTTAGTAAGACAGTACATAAGACTAACTGAATACCTCTGCTTGTGGAGAAAATGTGAAAAATATTTTCTATTTTGTTAATGCAATTTTTCTAGGCTAAATGATATATATAATAATGTATAATGTACTACTGACTGAATACAGCTTTATTATGTTACATTTTAAATTTCATTTTAAGGGGAAGGATATAGCTCAAGTGATAGAGTGCATACTTAACATGCACAAGGAACTGGGTTCAATCCCCAGTACCTCCTCTAAAAATAAACTTAATTACTTCCCCCACAAAAAAATAAAATGAAATTCACTTTAAGGTGGATGTAATATCATTTAATATCATTTAGATTTGATGCTAAAGAATTAAGTTTCCCTTTAAGGAATGGTGATTGTATTCCTAATTTTTATTAAGTTCCATCTGTTTATATTTTATAGCAGAAAATAAATATGCAGGAGGAAATCCAGTTTGTGTGCGCCCAACTCCCAAGTGGCAAAAAGGAATCGGAGAATTCTTCAGGCTGTCCCCTAAAGATTCAGAAAAAGAGAATAGAATTTCTGAAGAGGCAGGAAGCAGTGGCTTGGGAAAAGCAAAGAGAAAGTAAGTTTTTATATTTGGAATATGAAGACTTATTCGTGAAGATAAAAGACAACAGAATATTGAGTAACTGAAAGATTTCTCTTTGAGCAGATAAGAAAATATAAACCAGTTTTTTTTTTTTTTTGGAGCCGAAAAAGGTTTATTGCAGGGCTAAGGAAGGAGAAAGGGTGGCTGGTGCTTAAAATACCCAAACTCTGAAACCAGAACTTTTAAAAACTGCTAATCCCTTATTTAAGTCACTCTGAAATTTGAGACGTAAGTAGAAGTTATTATTTTTACTAATCTCAGTCACTGAAAGAGGGTCAGATAAAATTCCCATTCAGATAAAGTTCCCATTCAGATGATAAGTACTACAGTATTAACCATGAACTTCTGGTCTTTATTCTTTAATTTTTACTGTTTTCTATAGATTTTTTTCAAAAGCAATTTCTATGGTGGTTTATGTAGCTTGAATTCCATTAACCCCACCTCTCAGAAACTACTAGTTCAACCTCCACAGGAAGTATATAACCATTATGGAAAAGTTAAAAAATACAGAAATCCCCATCACCAAGAAATAACCAAAACTAACACCATGGTGTATTTTCTTCACACCTCCTCTATAATTATGCAAGGATACCTCAAAATAAAACAAGGTGGGTATAAAACTGCACACATACAGAGTTCAGTGTGTAAACCTAAGAAGATAATTAAATCAGGCGTTCAAATTTTTAATGTCAGGCAAGTGTTCTTGATAAATGTTAAGCAAAAATTCTGGATACAAAAATACAATGATTATTGTGTAAAAGACATGGTATATAAATATACCAAATGTCTGTACAAAATATGCCAAGTATCAATAGTGATAATGTCTGGGTAGAAATCTCTCCTCATACTCAGTGCTTCCAACTTTCAACGACAAACATATTTTAAGAATCAGGAAAACAATAGTACCATTAGGGGAAAAAAAAGCAATGGCAACCTGCTTTTTAAGTCGATTTATGAGTATTAGTGTCCAGATTCTCCAAAGAGTTTTGAAATTTTTTATTTCAAAAACAAATTATTTGACTGGAGGTGGGGAGTGGTGAGGGCAGGTAGGCTTGGTGCCACGTCACTGGCATTATGAAGTCACTTAATTTAAGACCCTGCTAGGTCCCTCCCTTGCATCAGCCAGGACCCGGTGATCCTCCAGCGCCCGCATAGCGAGCCCCGTCCAAGGCGCAGTGATCAACGCGGGCAAGGAGATGGCGGCCAGGCTCAGTTTGGGGCTGCTGCTTCTGGTGCTGCTCCTACCCATGCAGATTTATTCGTCCGTTGTTAAAACCAGCACGGAAGCTCCTTCTATCCAAACCACGGCGGCCGGCTGTGCCTTTCAGTCAACAGCTAGTCTCCTTGTGGTCTTGCTTGCCCTTCTACATCTCTACCGTTAAGAGACTTGGCCAAGAAACAGCTACAGTTTACCAACCCATCTCCTAAAGCTCGCTCCATGAGGCATCTACAAGTCCAGCGTGGCAAGGGGGGAAAAAAAAACAGGTCTTCATCAAATCTACTAATTCCACTCCTTATTAACACAGAAAATGTTGACAGTCCCGAATTGGACTATTTTAAAGAGCGTCTGAAGGATTTGACCAGATAATGAATGCCAAAATTAAATCTGCTGGAGTTTCACGTACAACACTGGAAAGACCATGGAGAATTAATGATGTGATTAAGTGTAATTTAAGAAATATGGACACTTGAAACCGTACCTGGTAAATAATAACTTCATAGTCATCTAGAGAGAAAGGATGAACTGTGGAATGGAGATTCAGTTTTCATTTTGGTTCATGAAACCTAGAAGGCCATAAAATGATTAGACAATATAAAAAGCTTCAGTGATTCTGTTTATGATGTACACTCACCAGGTATTACGGCAAACCTTCTATGTATTGTTTCAGCAATCCTAGTGTAATGCTGATATACTCTGTCAGGTTTTTTTTTAAACCAGGTTTTACATTGTTAAGTTTTTACTGTTTTTTTTGTAACTTTTTCCTCTGGGGCTTTGGATTTGCCGTTGCATTTTGCTTTTTGTAGTAACAGATGTGTGCCAGGGCAATGATGAATTGCAATCTACTACAAATCCAAGATTAAGTAATCCTTGCATATATATTCAAAATCAAATGATAGGTATTTCCTATCACACAGTCCCATCCAATAAGGGTGCCAGACTCATATAGCTGATTTGGATCTCTTAACTTGATTCCAAAGATTAGAAGTACGATGATTTCAACCGGTCTTAAAATACTGCTTCGTATTTGTGCATATGTTGAATAATTTTTACAGCTTAAAAATTGACCTGTTTTGAAGGCATATTTGACAGATCTTGAAATTAAGAGGCAAATATATGAAGGAGGCCAAAATAATGTGTATTGGGTTTTTGGGAAATGAAGACTGGAAAGTTGCCTGCATTAAATTCACAACTGTTTTTTGCTCTTTCTGTAAAACTTGATGAATCAGAATAGCTACATGTGGAACACCTACATCAGTCATTATTTTTAAGATAGTTAGAACCTGCTACTAAATCTAAGTGGGCTTGATTCTGGAAAGCAAAACTTTACAACTGCCTTGATGTACAGAAACCTTTTTAGAAATAGATACTCCGTGAAATCTTTAGTTCACATGTTCACAGAATGATGCTTAGGTGTTAAGTATCTAGTATGTCCATAGTACTCTTAGTAAGTCTTAAGTCAATATTTGCCATCTTTAGAAACCTACACGGGAACAACCAGATCCAACAGATCTCAAGCTCTGTTAGATCTATGTGTGTGAGTGAACACACCCCTTTGCTTCATATCTGAACACTGTACATCTGAACAGTGTACAAAAACACTGTACTGTTTTGGATTGTACATTGTGTTTGGAATTGATTTGCATTGAACACAAACTAAATAAAAATAAATGGCCAAAAGAGCAATTAAAACGAAGCTTTTTACGTATAAAATGATGTTTATGCATATAAAATGTTAAGAATTAGTCAACAATTTCATAAGATCATTTAGTAAATTGTTATTGAGTGCCTACTTTCCATCTTAGGAGATGTTTAAAAGGAATGTTAAATTCTGGAGCATTAATCAAATTTTATACTCTGTTGCTATATCACTATATGAATCCTGGTTTCAGTAAAATCAACAAGCAAGGAGATACATTTTTGGATAGTTTTTTAATAGACTTGTTTTCCTATACGTCTCCTTTAGTTCCTTCTCATTTTCTGGCACTATTCTTCCATATACTTTCTCATGTTAATATGAACAAGCTAAAAGTCAATATTAGCTCTAGAATATATGACAGTCCTCTTGAATTATTTGTGACTTCCATTAAGGACATAAAATATTTGGCAATATAGCCAAATGTGGCTATGCCATTGATCATCATAGCAATAAAACGTGTATCACAGGCTTTTCATCATATGGAGAAAGATTACACATATAGTCTTATAAAGAACTTTGATCCATCGTATAATAAAATCTGTGACATAAAACTAGGTAATAGAGGTTTACATTATTGCTTTAGGCTTCTTAACATTTGTTTTTGTTTGTGAGAGTTGTAAGTATCACTTTATTGATGGTAAATTGATAGATTTACTGTTTTTTTCTCCCAGTTTTATTGAGACAAAACTGACATACAGCACTGTATAAGTTTAAGGTGTACAGTCTAATGATTTGACTTACATACATCATGAAATGATTATAATAGGTTTAGTGAACATCTATCATCTCATATAGACACATTAAAGAAACAAACTTTTTTTCCTTGTGATGGGAACTCTTTCAATAGATTTAGTATTGATAGTAAATAGTAAACTATCAGTATATTAGAAGGACTTCTGCTATAAACTCTCTAATTCAAAATATAGAACATCGCTACTCCTATGACTTCATAATTCTTACAAAGGCTGGGTAAACACCCATCAGGTGCATGGGGGAGAATCAGAATCAAGAAAGACTATCTGCTCAAAACCTTGAACAGAACTGTGATACCTAAAGTAAGTTAAATCAGGTCCCCCACAAAAAGAATTTTGGGTCATGATAGTGTTAAGTTGTTAACTTGATTTCATTTCCAGGCAAGTACAATGAAGACCTCTTGGTAATATAATGGTAAGTGAGTCAATGGTAATCCTATACTAAATCAGAAAACCTTTGTTTTAGTTTCCTTCTTTGACTACCTAGCTCTATGACCATTCAGGCTTACTGGATCTAATTTGAAAACTGATTATTTTAGGAGAGATCTCACAAACCTTTATCAGCTCTGAAAAAGATTCTGATTTATGGTTAAGCTTTTAATTGACTTTTTCTGTATAAAAAGTATAATAAGTACAAAATAGCTTTGGGATAATATAAATTATTTTTCAAAAGCTATGACTACCGCATGCCAATTTAAGACAGTTTTGGGGTTTTTCTAATTAGGTAATACATTCACATAGTTCCAAAAGAGTATACAGTCAAATATGACAACTTGCTGTATTTTCTCTGCTTGAGTGTATTGGTTAAAATTTTTTTCCCCTTAATGGAGGCACTGGTGATTGAACCCAGAGCATGCAGTCTACCACTGACCCCCTCCCCAACCCCTTTTTTGCCTTTTATTACTACAGAGTTCTCACTGAATGATTATACTCCTCATCAATCCACTTAATCTATAAGGAGGTAGATTACCCTCCTCCTCCTTATAGAATGCTATAGAAATAGAGATTCCCTTTTAATAAAAATGGCAACATATCCTAAAGGAGACACTGATTTGGCAAATTCACAGGCAAAATAAATTATTAAAAATTTTATCGCTCTAAAGGGGAGGGTATAGGTCAAGTGGTAGAGCACATGCTTAGCATGCACAAGGTCCTGGGTTCAATCCCCAGTACCTCCATTAAAAATAAATAAACCTAATTACCCTCCCTGCTAAAAAATAATAAAATGGTAGGATAATAAATAAAAATAAATAAAATATTTTAAAAAGTTTTATCGCTCTAGGATTTGGAATTTGTAGGAGTTTGTCAGTTACTGGAGTCTAATTTTCTCTCATTTCCAGTCTCTTGACCATACCCACTGCACTGTTAATTAATGTTCTTGATTTATATGTCTTTAAAACACTGTTTATGTTTTGATTTTTAAACATTTGGCTCAGGTGACTATTGAAGTTCTCTATTCTTTCTACAGAGCACGTCCTTTGCCACCTGATCACACAGATGACGAAAAAGAATAGAACTTTTTTATTCATCCTTGACTAATGTCTCCTGTTTTCTCTGGTATTCTAGGGTGTAAATTTGCATAAATGTATTTGTTCCAATTAGCTTTGTTGAATAGGCATTTAATTTTAAAATGAGGCTTACATTTAGTTATTCAAGAGCAAGTAGTTATGATATTGGAAAGTTTGTGAGATTAATTATGGTTACTTAGCTTAGTATTCAACATAATGTATTTGGTTTCTTTTACCTGTTATTAAGCTTTTTCTTGCTAATGTAATTGCATGGTGTTCTAATTATGAATCTACTGTATTTGAGGTTTGCTTGGATCTTTGTACTGTTGCCATTTTTATTGGCATATGATTATTGGAATGATGCCATATTTTTGTTCTTTTTATTTGCTTTAAAAAGCAGAGTTAGATTTTTGCACATCGAAAAATTCAGTGTTAATTAAACTGAACCCATACCCCTTTTTAAGAAAGTGGGGCAAAGATGCAATGTTGAAAACATTTGGATGGCTATTTATCTTCTCCTTAGAAAAATTTAAGGACAGTTTAGTCCTAAGGGTTTAAAGGGTTGATAAAGCTTCTAACAACAACAAAACAAAAAGATAAAATACTAGCATACAATCAGGCAGGAAGATTCCACAGACTACATTAAAAGAGAGGAATTTTCCTAGAATATGCATTTTGTTCAATGCCATAAAATATTACCCTTTGGGCCTATACTTTTAGAGTTGGAAATCAATAAAACATGAAAGGCAAATTATGCTATAAACCCAGAGCTATATCTAAAGTCCTTAGAGCTACTATTGTATTCTTCAAGATAACCAGGGGTATAATCGAAGAGGTGGGTATAGTGTTACTTAGTAACTGATGTTCTGCTTCCTTATCAGGCGTTTTGCTTACTGACATCCTGTTGTCAAAATTAACCATGTTTTAACAGGCATGCTTTTCTGAAGTTTGTTTTTAATAAACGATTACTCATTTTCACAAGACTATCCATATGTGTGCTTCCTAAGATTATATACTACTAGATATTTCTATTTTACTCCTTTCAAATACAAATCAGTACACTGGCCTGATTTTATCAACTTCCAAAATGAGTCTGGATGACTGTAGAATATTTTTTTCTTTGTCTTTTAGAGGTGGATATTAAACAGAATGTTACTGAATTGAGAGTAGAGTTTTTATCCTAAGTACTTCCTTGATAATTAGGCTTTTTATTAAGGAGTAGCTCAAACCAACCCTCTAAATAAGTCAAGTTTTAATAGGTTTGAAACCTGATTTGCTATTTTTCACTGATGGAGAGAGAAACTTTATGATGGTGTGTCCAATGAAGTCTAATTTTGATATGTAACTGTTTCTAAAAAATGTGACCTAAAGAACCTGCAGTCTTTTCAAATACAATCCTTTCAAAATATACAGTATTTTTGATGATGTCTAACTTTTATTAGGCAGAGGTCCCATGTAATCTTTCCTTGTCAAAGCTTTTAAAAAATGTAGATTGGCAATTTAGCCTCTTCTAAACATGAGAGAACTACAGACTCCCTGTTTACACTGAAACTGAATCAAAAATAAACTTTGTACATTAAAAAGATAAACTAAATTTTAATTTTGTATCCCTCGTCACAGAGTTAATATTGTTTTCCTCTTTGAACGGGTCATTCAAATTATTAGTTTTAGTGTTAAATTCCTGACCAAACAATGATTAAAACTATTTTTATGGAATTTTTGAATGATAGGACACTCTGAGGATTATATGATTTCCTGTTTTTTACATAGTTTCACAATGGAAGAGTAATACTATAGCAAAAATTGTAACGTATGCTTAGAGTTATTTATGAGATGAGAAATGCTTATCATTTTTTAAAAAGCAGAAAATAGAGCCTAAACTCAACCTTTCCTATACACACACACACACACACACACACACACACACATACATAGATATATATATATATAGAGAGAGAGACTGCTTACAAATCTCACTGTACTTAGAATCCTTCAGGCTAACTCATTTTTGGGAAATCTGAAGATTTAGCTGGGCTTTTGTCCAACTGACAGTGTTAAGATGATTCTTTTTACCTTTGAGGATAGCCTATGGAGGAGGGAGAGATGGTCCCTGAATCAAAACTGAGAGGAATGTTAGAAGTTATCTTGTTCCCCCAGGCCAGCTATAGCTTTTCATTAGGTGGATTGTTTTATTAGCTGGCAGCTCTAATTGTGAAAATGCTATGAGTTAAAATTTGATTTTTTTCTGAACTCTCCTCCTGTTCTTAGTTCTGTCCTCAAAATAACATAGAACAAGTTACTCCTTCCATGTGACAACTTTTAAGTATTTAAAGATAGCTGTTACATCTTTAGCCTTCTCTTCTTAAGGCTAAAGCTAAACATTCTATTATGTCACATTTATCCTAAGTGAGTTTCTCTTAAGTCCCTTAAGAGAATATGTATGGGGCCATGCCTTTCATCTTGTATACTGTTCAGGCAGATAAATGGTAAATCTGGCTACATTTCTTCTAATTGATCCCAAGAATTCATTAATTTTGGTATCTTTTATGTTTACTTATTTTTTCTTTGGTACTTGGAACTGCCAATAGAACTTTAAGAATATTTGAGCATTTAAGTATTAATTCAATAATTAATAATAATAAATAATAATTTAATAGTAACAGAGTATTGGGTTTCCCCAAAATAAACCTTAGATACCTTAATTCTTTCTTAAATGATTGCAAGGGACAATTAAAAAATTTTTAAAAAGCTTTCAAGAGATTGGAAAAAATGGCTGGAGGTCCTACAGGATGAAGGTACTATACTGACCTTGAAGGCTATTTGAGATCTAGCATAGATCTGAGAGCACTGTCTTAGTTATGGTTCATATTAAGACTATGGATTCCTGTGGTACTACTCAAAAAATCCTAAAAGTGTAGTTAAACCTACATAGCTAGTTTTAGGTGTGGATTGTGTTATATACATATTTATTTATTTGAATTTTTAAACACTTACAACATTGATTTACATACAATAAGGTGCATATATATTCAGTGTACAAGCTTTGATAAATATATACACCTGTGCTATACATCTTTTGAGGTCTCCAAATAATGAGTATGTTGAAAATGATAGAATTACGGAAGTCACGTGACCACTTAGGAGTCAAGCCAGGTATTCATGCACCTATACAAAAGTGATTGAATAATAATTTTTAAAAAACTGTAGGAAGAGTGGATCTAAATGAATGTTGTTATATGCTAATTTAAGTCACATTTCTTCAGACAACAGGAAAAATGAATGATGCATAGGAATTTGCATTTTTATGTTGACATAAATTGCCGTGTTTGACCTTAACTATTTTACCCAATAAAACATTTCCTTCTATGGGACACATTTACCAATTCATGTTTTTAATTTTTTAGAGACATCTGAGTCCACCATAGTTTCAGATAAGTTGTTCATTGGGCTTATAATCTTACTTTTCTAATTAAAATTTTAAAATATTTAAACCTGTTGGCAAGCTCTATTTTGTCATGGTAGCAGAATCATCACTTGTCAGTTACAGCCAGGTAATTGTGCTCACATTCCATTTGAATTGTGTACATATATACTCCCACATCATGTATGTATGTGCATAGCAAGGGTTGAAATGTTACAGATTTATTAAACAACCTTCTAATGACATTTGAACCTAGTGATTTCCTAAAGGTTTTGCTGAACTGACTCTAAGGTGAATCAGTTTAATGCTGTATCATGTGTATAGGAAACCAACAGACCTGCTGTTTCTTTAGAGTTACCAAAGCTCATTTCCTCTGCCCCAGCTAGGTGGAAAACAGTTCAGTATTGGTGACTAAGTGGTGACCAAAAAAATTATGACCAAAGTTATTATGACCAATAGCCAGCAATTGCAAGTACATTCACTGCCATGGGCTAGATAACAAATTCATGAGCTACGATTAAACTTTACTGCTTTTAAGCAGACTTATTCAAGATAGGAAAGTTAAGCCAAGATTTTTACTCATTTTTCTCTGAATGCCCAACTACATTTCTCTGAATATTTAATTGCCATAAAGATACAGGTAATTTTTCAGAAGAGAGGATTAATTAGTTTGTTGGCTTTTGCCCCAAGCAGTGGTTTTCCCAATGTTTTTCAAGCTCAGATCACCCCAACACAAGAATAAATGTCTCTTATTAACACTGTTCTGTCCACAGTATGGGAATGAAGGTTTATTCTGAGTGGAGGATTAAATGTCTTCCTCCTTCCCAAGTTTGATTACCAGCTTCCTCTGGCCTTTTCTCATTTTTTTCTTTTCTTTTAGGGAGTAATCATTCTACTCTATTTACAGTGAATCTTTGTTTTCCCCTTCCATTTAGCCAGGTTATTTCTAGATCATACACAAACATGTGCAGTCCTTTCAAAAGAAGATTAGTGAACGCAAAACTTTCTCATTATTCGGTTTCAGGGGCTGTCACAGGAGAGCGAAGTGCATGAAAAAGCTTTCATAACATTGGAGATTTTTAAAAACCCAGTTGAAACACAACTAAAAATCCACAAGAGGGAGATGCTTGCTAAACCGCCAAAAAGTAACTCCCACGAGGGACCACAGTCAGCCTTAGGAGAAATCAGTGGGTCCCCCTGGGATTCAGGGAGGAAGGGAACAGGAGTAAATAGTAACTGGGGGCTGGTAGGGGGAGTACAGTTGAAGAGAAATCAGGGTGCACTTCGTGGCTTTGGCAGGGAAGCCCGTGCTCCACCCAAGACCAAGAGCAGAAGGTAAGAGCGTTTTGCCAAAGAGGAGCACACGTCCCTCATACCTCTTGTTAGTCCCAGAAGAAATGAGGGTGGTTGTCTTTGAAGGCACTTCCGCTTAGCAACCCCACGCGGTTGCTAAGGAGGGGCGGTAGTGGGGATGACCCGGAAGTGGTGGTGTCCATTTCTTGCTGCCTGCTTTAAGTTTGACCTATCGGGAGCGCTAGTGTGCTCTGCGCTGGGCTGAGGGTGGGGCCCGCGCTAGTGGTTCCGGCTGGGCTTCTGCCGCCCCTCTGCTCCCCGTCTTCCCCCTCCCCTCTCGCACCTCTCCTCCCTCCCATTCCTGGGAAAAAGAGAAGCCGCCGCTGCGGGTGGGTAGAGAAGCATCGGCGCCTCCGGGAGGGGACTGCGTCCGCCCCATCTGAGCTCCGGAGCACGGCACGACCAGGTACTTGCTCCGGCTTCGACGGGGTCCGGGAGGCTGGAGCCCGAGGGTGTGTGTGTCTGTAGGGGCGGGTGGGGGCCCCTTCTCCGGGTCGGGAAGGGGAGCGCGGAGATCCTGGGTGGGGCTCAGGCAGGCGTGTGTGACTGTGAAGGGTTGCGGGGGTGGAATCGGAGGGTTGGGGGACACCGTTGGGCGAGAGTTTTGGGTAGCCGAGTCGAGATTGCGGAGGAGGCGCCCCCTCGGATGCAGACGACTTCGGCCGGTGTGGACCGGGAGTTTGCCACCTGGAGGGCTCACTCTGAAAGGGGGAGCATCCTCCTGGGTCAAAAGGAGAGCGTGGAGCTCGGCGAGGTGGCCGGGGCAATCCCATACTTCTGTTGCTTGCTTCCCCTGCTCACCCCGTTGGGACAGAGCCCGGCTTCTGGGGTTGCGGGGGTTGTGAGTCGGCTGGGCACCGTGGGGAGCCGCCCTTGGCAGAGCTAGGGCAGAAGAGTGGGTAAAAAGACCTCCTTCCTCCCAACTTCCGTGCGCTTCCCCCACTTCTTCCTTTACTGCTCTCTCGCTCCAGTGTCCTGCAAGAGCGGTTTTCCCCCCAACGCCCCTCAGTGGGCTGGTATCACAGCGTTAAGAGGGTCGAACTGGGTTGGTTGCCCCTAAATAATACTTCGAATGTTTGGAAAGTGCCAAAATTGCAATATTCAGCCAAATCTCCCAGCTTGATTTGAAATCTGGTGTAAATTATTTTAGAAAAGTGCACTTCTGAAAGGCACCAGGCTATAGGCTAGTCTGGCGTAGCCTTTTTTGGTAAATATGCGCGTTTATAAAAAATAAACCTGGGGAACCGTATGGATATAGAGGTTTAGGCGAGACATGTTGAGGCAAGCCTTTTTCAACCTCTTTGTTACCTGCCAGTAAGCCTGCCCTAGTTTAAATGAAGCAGAGATCCTTTCATTTATATTTCAATCAGTGACTGAATTGTAGGTACTGTGTGTTTATAGATGTCTCAGAATAATTATGTGAACGTTCAGAGAGACAAAGATTCTCAGCTTTTGAGCCTGCCTCTTAATCTTTTAAGGAGATAATTGTGATCAAGTGGAAGTGTTGGCTTTGAGGTTGAGTAAATCTCGGATTGAACCTGGACTGCCACAGGCTAGTTATTGACCTTGGGCAAGTCATGGAACTTACCAGAGATTCAGTTTCTTCTTAAGTAACATGAGTTAAAATTCTTATCTGTATTGTAAGGGGGATAATGTATTTAAATAATAGCACACTTTAAATGGAAGCACCTTCTAATTGAAAGATGATTTATTATTACTCTTACACATTCAAAGTAGCCCAGTTTAGTGGAATGAGGTTTGTGATAGAACAGAACTGGATAATATTCTGAAACATAAGTATACAACTGGCTTTCAGTGGCTTCTAGTAGCATGAAATCCAGTTGTCAGTAATTTCTTCAAACTCTTGAAAATAAAGCAGGATATGTTTTCATTAACTGAAATGGCCAGTAATCTTTCAAAGGTTTTTCTCAGATTTGGATTGTATTGTATTGATGAGAAAAACATTTAAAAAGTAGTGTATGTAAATCTTAATTAACATTGCATGTCTCTGGAGAGAATTAAAACTGGGGCATAAAATAGAAAGTAGTTGTAATTTTAGAATTAAAATCAATAGAAGTAGCATGATTCAATTAGACTTAAAGTATTAGCAAAAACTTACAGAATTTATATGTATATATATAAAATTTGTAAAAGAAATAAAAATGGAATTTCTACCTTCAAATCATTGTGATGGTAATATAGAAATATATCTTGGAAACATGAAGTCTTTTTTCATTTGTAGGTTTAAGATGATACCGTTGTATGTAACCTGCGTAACCTGTTCTATGTTAGATTGTCAGCTAATGTAGTTTGCTTTCTGATGTATTTTGTAGTTAGTAATTTTTAATTCATAAATGTACTTTATACTCAAAAGGTAAAAATTAAATAACTTGCTTTAATAATACTTTTTTGTCTGTGTATGAAAGAAGAGTAGAAAGTTTGTAATTCAGTATCCCTTTTTAGGGGTTACAGGTTTTGCATAATTTTGAGAGAAATTTTCAAATATATTTCTTTGTGTCTCTTTTAAACAGAGTTTACCTTTTTGTTTTTTTGATCACTCAACTATATTGCATGCTCTTTGAGGTAGAAATACTGTTTAAAATTTTATCCACCACTAAAGTTACATAATAGGCAGCAAATAAATAATGGTCAAATTGAAAAATGGATGGATATATTTAAAATAATTGATACGGTATATTTATACTATTTTTTAAAGAGTTGAAATTATGTTTTTGCTGCAGTTGTGGATTTTTGTAAGGTTATTCAACTTTCTAAATGACTTTTCTGATATTGTAAAGTCTTTACTGTATATGTATGTGTTAACTGTGTTTTCCTGGATCATTATTTTTCAACATCTTTTGAATCTTAAAATTGAGACCATATTATCTTGCTTTGTAAAGCCATCAGAAGCTCCCATTTTTCCCGCCTGTCTTCTCATAAAACTTTAATAAACCATTTATTTTGGTATAAGAGATGAAATACTAGTTGTATAAAGATCTATCTAAAATGTGGGCAACAATAGAGACTGTTAGAGATGATACTTTTCTCAATGACCTTTTCCACTTAAACAAAGTATGTGACCATTCCATGGATCTTTGCAGTTGTTAGTTGTGGAATTTGCTTGTCAGGAAATCTAAAAATGACTAAACCTTCCTTTAATGTCTGTCTCTTGGATGATCTCAGAAAGCTTTAGGAAGGATTGAGAAGGTTTATTTACCCCTAGAATGTATAATGAACAGAGTACAGTTAATTTTGTTGGTGCTGCCAAATCAGGAGTGAATTACTGTGCAAATGTTTAACAAATGCCAGGCAGTGCTTTGCTCAAACCAAATGAGTATTCTTCTAGAGCTTGTTTCTATTTTAAAGCATATTTCTTTTTGGAGTTATGATTTGGTCTCTAACAAAGGTAAAGAATCATTGTATCCAGAAAAAAAGGCTGATATCAAAGATTTTAATATCACCAATCTTAATGGAAACTGCTTCAGTGGCTTCAGATAAGTGTAAGTAGATTTTCGTGAAAGAACCTTTAGATTTTGTGGAATGATAGTTTTTTTCTCTTGAACATTTAACTTGTCTCTACTAATTTCTGCCTAATATAGAAACTTTGAGAAGCTGGGAGAAGAAAAAAGAGAATGAATTACTTTAGAATTACCATTTTATGTTTCGTAGGTTACTTATTTGGAGAGCTAAATTGGATTTTGACATTATTGGGATTGTGTTCAAGATGGACTTGGAAAAAAAATTAGATGCCATCTGTTCCAGATTCCTATTCCCACACCCCTTCATGTTCTGTGCCTTTGAATTCATCAGATTTTTTTTTTCAAAAATAAAAATCCTCAGTGGATTTAGGTTATATAATTTCAGCTATACCAGTGAACGTGTAACTAAAAGAACTTGCGTTTAATATTGAGTTACATAGACAGATCACAGGCATTGGTTAAAAGTAATTGTTTCTTCAAAGTATGTGAACATTAGGTAGCTAAACCTTTCCTGTCAGTAATGCTTACCATTGTCTGCTTATTGGTGGAAGTTGCTTAAAAAAAAAGGATTATGGAGATACAGAGTAAACATTTTTTTCCTCTTATATTACAATCAGAAGAGAAGCTTCTCCTGTGGATTTTTTTATTTAGTGATAAGTCCACTTAAATGTAACTTTCAATAGTGAGTTTTGCCTTACTTTATGCCAATTGCTATAGTTTTCATCTAAGTGGTACCTTACAGTTCACAGGGCACATACTTTTCGCTTTTCAATTTGAATCGTAATGAATCCTGAGGACAGGCGTTTGGACTTACTGAGCTGGAAAAGACTGTATCTTGTTCAGGTTACAGTAGTCAGGCACCTAGCATAGACTAGAAAGACCCAGGCATCTTTGAGAAACAATAAAGTAGAATTAGTGTGGTATCCCAGAAATGGCTTGAAGAGAGAGCCTTCTGGATAGAAGAGAGCCATGCTTTGTCTGCAGTAGGAATGTTTGGGTGATGTAGGAAGACAGATCGACTTCCTTTGTACTGCTATAGTCTCTTCCTCACTCAGAAGCTCCAAGCGGGCAGTGTGGTAATGGCAGGGGCTGGGATGTCAGGGCTGGGAATTGTTCTTCAATAATTGCTCACCCATCACAATGGAGACATAGACATAGTGGGGAAAGGGATATTCTCTTGGATTTTGCCTTGGCCAGAGAAGCTGAGTGAACGGGTAGTCATTGCCCTTCCCATCAGAGAGAACTTGGTGCTGGGTAAGCCTGTCAGAATGCCACAGTTTGAGGTCTCTATCAAAATGCCACATAAAATTTCCAAGAGAGGATAGCATTGGACCCACGTTGATTTCTGTAGTTTACACATTCTAATTCTTAACCTAGAAAAAGGAGCATTGAGGATTTTTGGGCCTCTGAATGAAAGTACTATACATTACATCCATCTTGATGGGTTTATAAATGTACTTTAATTTATCTTTTGGTATTAATGAATGATGTGAAATGTTTTAAGTTGTGTGTGTGTGTGTGAGTGTCCGTGATGATCACAAGATCTTGGTTCTTCAGGCTAAACTGCTAACTACAGATGTGGTCAAGCAGCTTCCCAGCTGGATTTCTTTTTCATCTCTTAGAGATCACTCTCTGAGCAAGGATATGACCAAGCTAGGAAAAAGGCAAGGTGATTAAAGTTAATTTCTTTTAATTTAAATTTATTGAAATGTTTATTCAAATTTGATTTTATTTAAGTAGTTTTTTCACTTTGCTATAATCTCTGTAGTTCAAAGTCGCAGTATATGCTCTTTGAATTTGTGGATGGCCAATTTTCTTTTTTTAATTAAGAGTTTATTTTTAACAGTTTTAGGTTTGCAGAAAAATTGAGCAGATAATTTCGTATCTTTCCAAATCCACTTAATTCTCACCCACCTTACACCCCCCA